GTCACTCGGGTGCAGGGCTTGCTGGTTAACGTGTTTCTCGCATGTATCTTGGCTTGGATGTACTGCCCTTTTCCCCAGAACCCCAAGATCTGCTTGCTCAAAGATAAATGAATTACAAGGTTAAGATTATATCTATTTTGCTGCAATTTACTATCCCTTTTTTTTATTTATTTATTTTAAAACACTTATACGTTAATTAGACCACCAAGACGAGCTTGAATTTCGCTGTAAGTCTGATTGTTTGAAGGCTTTTGTCCTTCTTTGCTTTCTATTCACTGTGTGCAGCTGCGTGCCTGCGCACTCGCCTCGGTATCGCAGGTGCTCCTGCAGGTGCAAAGGGAAGCGGCGCGCGGTGCTGCTTGTGGATTAAATAAAAGGGAGGGCGTCTTGCTGAGGGTGCCTGGCTCGCTCGGTCGTGTGCAGGACTGTGCCGGAGAGCTGCAGCAGGCAGAGTGGAGGGTCCCTGCTCACTGGAGCAGGTGCATTAGGAAATCATTCAAGTTCTGATCCTGAGATGRGATTTGCAGGGGCAGGTGCTTAGCCCCATGCCAACCCACTGGAAGGGATGCCTCCGCTCCTAGGGCAGAAGCTTAAATGTGCATATGGACCTACACGTGTATCAAATCTATATGTATAAATAGGGTTTCTGATCATATTTACTTATTTTAAGCTGTACCTCTGTTTTCTAGCATTAGGACTCCCACTAAACAAGTAGTTTGTGCATAATAGAAGTACCCCCAAAAAGTACCCTGCAAAAAGTAACCTGTATCACCAGCGGCTTGGGATGTTCATGGAATAACTCTGGGCACTCCTCGTCCTTCTGGACGGGAGACACTAAGTGCTGCAGCCAGGACAGGGCTCCGCTGCTGCCGGTGCCTTGGGAGCCACCAGCTGGACAACGTGCACGACGGCTTAACCAGTGTCGCTCCGGGCATGGGAAGTGCGTGGAGCGATTTCTGATCCTTCAGGAAACTCCTAGGAATGCAATAAACTGCTTTGTGCTTGGTTTTTGACCCCTTGTCAAGCTGATGCCTGAGCTAAAAGCTCCTGGAAAAGTGTCAGAGAGAAGGGGAAAAGGGAAGGGAAAGAACTGGGCTGGCGTGTGATTATATTTTCCAGGTCTCATTTCTTTAAGAGGCAGGCTAAAAATATATGCCCTATAATAAATCCTAGATTTAAACTTGACAGTTCTAGTCTATACACGCTCATCACTGTAGTATCTAAAGTGTATTCCAGTAATGCATGTCACATGCTGTTCTTTAATCCTCTCCTCAGGAGAAGTGGGTATTAGTTGTGTCTTGGTTTCAGTAAGATTTGTGTATGACTGGAGGGTATTTATTTCATATTTTGTCTGTATTTTTGATCAGTCGTAYACAGTCCAGAAGGCACTATCACGGGAAAGTTCAAGTGGTCCTAGTTCCCCCAGGTCATTCCACAGTCAAAACAGACACCTGAAGACATCCGTCTCCTGGACAAACTCACTTTGCCTTCTTCAGAGTGACAGCGTGTGCCTGTTCTCAGCCACCTACCGCAGCCTCCACCCATGCTGGGCACGTGCCATGAGGATGAACACCTGAAGACGAACACCAAGAGATACAGTTTTGAAGGCCCAGAGACCATTCCCAAGGGCAGGGGGGTGGAACACCACGCTGGCTAGAGACGGCTGCTGTCACCAAGCAATACCAGGAGCGAATGGTCTTGCCAAGCACCTTCACGTGCACTTCTGTTTGCTTCTGCTTCCAGGTAATATGCATGGCCCTCTGTGGTCACCTGTGATGATGCTCAAAGGTAAATGCACACACAAACCTGAAAATAGAGCTTCAAAACTTTCAGAATTGGCTACATCTACATAAAGATTCATTTATTTTAGTCACCCTGGGAATTAGGTGCTAATAGGTGAAAAATACAGTTCAGAAGCCAGGAACCAAAAGGGCTCTATGCCCTATGAAAAGTTGTTTTTAAGGAGCCAGGAGTATTTGGAGTTGGAAAATTYGCAAAATCTGCAAATTTGGATTTGGGGCACACTGAGCTGGAAGTCCTGTACCAGACCAACCCTACTATGGAGTGACTGCAACTTAAATTGCTGTAGAAGTGGAACATATAGGCAAGTAAGCCTGGTGGGTATTTGTTATTTATAGTTACTCCAGGGAAGATAGGGCATTGTGTGTGTTTTAAATGGGCAGAAATCGGAACTAGGTTCCTCCCTTATGCATTCAAGCTCTATTTACAATATAGGGATAGCACCTTATGGGGGGTTGCATTTCTGCCAGACATTCACTGTCAAAAGAGTAAATTGCCAGGTTGCACAAAGCTGCGTGTGCCTCCATAAATATATATTCATCAAGGGCWTATGCCTTCTCATTTTAATGCTGCACTTTAACACGTGTGATTAGAGAGAGGCATGTGCTGGGAGTTTACTGCATTTATTACACACAAAAAGAAAAATGTGCAGTTTCATATATGCTATTTCCCTTCTTGCTTTTGGAAGATGAGGGTGGCAGACCTGCTAATTACACTAAGTCACAATGTCATTTGTTCAGTATCCCAAAATATCAAAGGGTTCCCAAACATATCAAAGGATCCCAAAAAATTCTGGTGCCACTGGTATGATTTTTGCCTATGGGACCCCAAATTCACATTACAGTTTTCAGAACTGCCACTGCGAAGGGAAAATGAAGATGACTCAGAAACAATTCTCTTTCTGATTTCCTCATARCACGTGAAATCTTAGTCATTAAATGAATTACCCTTCCATTGAGCAGAGAYGTGGTAGCCTGCTTTTACTTTCAGCATTCCTCAGGGACAACTCCTGATTGTAACTGTGAGGGGAATAACCAGGGGTATTTTGCTACCTTAACGCAAGCTCTGCAATGAGAAGGCTGCGTTTTGACCCGTGGGCCAAAATGCACTGGCAGCCCCTCGCTCTGTCACCCTGTGCTCAGTGTCTCCATCTGGAAACGGCAGCCTCTTCCCTCACGTCTGTCACCAGGGCCCCAAACTCTGTTGTCTCCACTTCTTTGCATCCAAAGTGATGGGAAGAGGGATTCCCTTCCCTAAAAGCAAACAGTAACATCTTCTCAGATACTGCTGCAAGGTTTTGGCCTTATATCCTGTGTGCATATATATATGTGTGTGTGTGTGTGTGTGTGTGTGTGTGTGTGTAATGTGTGTACATATATAAACATATATATGTATACACACACACACATATATATATTTTTAATGGCTTTGGAAGGATAGGGTGGGGTATAAAATCTTTGTTTGAAAAGCACTTTCTTACAACAGTCCGTAAACACTCTGGTCCCAGAACACTGTAGCGCTGATTGGGATCCTGCACAGGAAGAAGAGTGGGGAGAAGAGGCAGTCACCCCTTCTCACTGCATGAAATGCGAACAGAACTCATGGCCAAAACTAATGGAAAACCTCTATCTCACTGATAAAGCTAGACCACAGACAAAAGCYATTATAAAAATCCTCTTATCATTCACTTTACAAAATAAAGGAAGAAAATCTGGCTCCAGCTGTARAAGAAAACTGCCCCACACTGAACGAGTAAGGAACAAGGAGTTTATCATCTATTGCATGATTGTCTGGTTTGGGCTCCCATTTTTTAACCCAAACGGACCTTACTAAAAATAARACAAAGGGAAATTGCTCTCTGATGGCTATTCCAGTCTCTCAGTGATGCAGATTTGGAAATGGGGCAAATCTACATGACCTGTGTCCTCAATATATTAGTGATAATAAGGGTATATTTTCAAAGACACTTGAAGAACTATGGCTGAAAGTGCTATATGCCGTGGTTATTTATTATGAAACCTTTGTCAGGAAAAAAATGGGTACTTTGAAAGCATCTCAGATTATAGGAGGGAAGCAAATGGAGAGGATAGCACTTGTCTGCTGACACAGAACTAATTCAGACCTATTAATTAACAATAAATTGCAGTGAACTTAAAAGTGACTTAAGATTTGACTGTAAAACCTTCCATTAAAAAAAAAAAAAAAAGTGATGGAAAGCACTGTGGGCAGAGCAAAACTATGCAGAAACAGAAAGTGCAAGAAGCATCTTATTCATCAAGTTTTATCTATTTGGTTGGCCTCTTTTCACTTGTTTCTAATGATGAAAGCACCACACGTAGTGTTTTGCTGGATTACCCTCGGTGCAGTCACTCCCAGGAATTTTCAGCTTGTTTTTCACAATCTCCTCCACCGACCTTTCCACTACCATGCATGTGACCACATCGGGCAAAACAAAAGGTTCTAGAGGGAAAAGTAAGGTTATAAAATAAACAAACAGATTATTTAAAATCAGGATTTTTCCATAGGAAGAATAGTTGACTATAACTACTTTTTTTTTTTTTTTTTTTTTTTTTTTTCAAACAGCTAGTCATAATAGTTGATAGGAAACTTCAAAATTAGGCCTAGGGAGATGTTTAAACGGACGGGCTGCTCCTGTGACCCTTGTGAAGCTTTCCTGCACAATGCCACTCTCTCTGAAGAGTTCTTCAGGACGGGTCTGTGCTATGAAGTGAGGGTTTCTGAAGTCCTATAAACATGGCAGTGTAGCTGGATGATGCGGCTGAACTTGGCTACAGCTCTCCAGCATAAAATTGGAAGTACCTGTTCCCTCTGCGAGCCCTCTAATGCTTTGAGACCCTTTGCAGAGTGGACTCAAGTTGCTGAACTCTCAAAAGGTTTTAATTTCTCACTCCCGACTGCCCAGGAAGTTTTCATCTTGCAGAATCCAAAAAAGTTAACTCAGAAAATGATCTGTCAAAGGCTACAGCCACATCAGGATGATGTGACCTGATGACCACAGAGGAGAGAGGGAGCGGAACCGCCTGCAGTTCAGAAAGAACAGAAATGTAACAGATGTRGAGATGTGGGTTAGCTTCTGTTCATAAGGATCTATCAAGTAGACCAGAAATGCACATGCCTTTCTTCAGTGYTTATTACACACTGTCTAGCATAAAACAGCTGACTGTCCCTTCATCAGTATTTCTTCTCCTGCAGGGTTAGCATTGGTGTTGTGTCTGCCCACCCTACATCGCTCCAGCGAAGCACTGCGGCACCCCTTCACTAAAGACTGTTCTTGAAATTGCTAGGTGGATTTGCAGTTGTGTTGCAGTGTAAACTCYTTGTCAGAAAGGGCTCAGACCAGGCTAAGCTACCAGAGAACTCYAGACCATTGGTCTAAGAACTACTCCCATCACGTGTTTAGAAACACTATGCTGACCAGACTTGAAAGGGCAGAGATTTATGCCACACGCATCCCTTATATATCCCCCTTTTAAAAATTATTTTGATCTTCTTTAAGAACAKAGGTGGATTTTCAGATGGAAGTTGCATTATTTTAAGCCAGCAAACTTTTGATGAAACTCTTCAGGTTTCTTGCTTTCATTTTGCACTCCGAAATTAGAAAGTCATATTTGGAGGTAAGAAATCTTGTTTCCGTTACAGGGTTAGTTCTCATGTTGGTGACTCAGTTCCACTTCACTCCTTCACTCCCCACAAATTGTGGCAGGGATTAACTCAAGTGCTGAAGAACTCTCTGTTCACTATAGGAGATGCGACAGGCTTAAGTGCAACATGTTCATCCCATTTAAAGAAAAATAATCCATTCAGTCCTCGAGTACAAGTAATACCTGTATCAAATTGAGATTGTTGTTTAACTACAACTCTGCCTCAGTTAGTGTTCTGTCTTTAATCAAGTGTCCTTTTCATTTAGAGGAACTGCCCTCCATTTCAAGGCGAACACTTAGGATACATTGCTAAGCTTCTACAAGGAGGCTTCTTATACAGAGACCTACAGCTTACAGGTGGTAACAACCTGGAGGCTCATTTCATTTTATCTGCGGCTATGCAGCAGTATTTATTCTGTCAATAAAAGCCAAACAATTCAGCATAGCAGCAAATGAACACTACAGGAAAGATCACTGCTCCGGCAGCTGGATGGGAGCATTAACATGAAATAGAATACAGGTCACCAATTTTTTCAAGAAAAAAGTATTGTAAGTTCAAATAAAAGGCCTGATAATGCAGGCCTGATTATGCATATGCAATAATGCATTCAAAGAGAAGGCCTGATAATGCATATGCAATAATAACTGCTATCTCACAACCTTCAGGTTGCAAAATCTTTTCCAGTCCACACAGGACAGCTGTGTTTTCTTCATTGCTTTCCATCATTTTGCAGCTCCAGCTTTGCTAGCTGGTTCTCAAACTTTTTAATGTCTACTCGATGCTTCATCAGGAACTTCCCATTTAAATGAAAAACAGGTATGTCATATTTGTATTTTTCATACCATGAAGAGTTCTCTGGAAGGGTAATATCCACCTCCTGCAAAACAAACTGTGAAAGATAAGAAATGTATGTTAGTACATATTGAACACTGATGAGAAGAAAAAAAAAAGCTTGCTTTTTGGACATCCTCAGACGTGTAATGCCACTTTCTCTTTTTTTAACTATATTTTTCCATGTGTTAGACAATTTCCCATTTCATCAGTGCAAAATATACAATGTCACTAACTTTTTCTTTGCAGACGACCTATTTAGTCTAGCAAAAGACACTTGATCCCCCGTGCAGACCTGACCAAAATGCAGCTGGCAACACAGCAGCTTTGTTAGGCAATGGAGTGCATCACCTTTTAAACACTGCTGTTGACAACGTTCTCCTTCAAGAAAGATATCAAAACCAAATGAGCACCAAAAACTGTGCCATGAATTTGTGGTTCCTTGTTCCAGAGAAATTTCTTCACATCTTTCCCAAGCAACACTGTCATCTGCCTCATAAAAGTTGCAAATGCTGCTAGATGCTAGAGAGATGTTATTACAGGGCTTAAGTTTTAAAAACTTTTGCAGGGAACTGTAKGTTGGCTTTGTTTGCTACGACTTATTTGAGTTGCAGTGTTGGGGAAAGCTTTGGGATAATGAGTTTTATGGAAATTGGTGCTGAAATTGTCTTGAACAGGTCACTCATGAAAAAATAATGGATGGAAATAAATCCAAACAATCTTCTATATTCTTTATAAAGAATTCTGATGAACTACTCTTTCTCTATATAGAATGTATGCAGTAGTGTAATACCTTACCCTTTTCTTATATGGCTCAAGCACTTCTTTTGCTTCATCACAGAGAGGGCATGGTTTCTAAAGAAAAACACAGCAAAATATGCACATCATTTGTACTGTAACGAAAATACACAGAGAACAGTGATCATTACTATGTGTTTTGTCTGCTCCTTTCCACCCCACTTCTGTCTTTGTGTTTTGTAATTCTCCACTTTATCAGCACAGCATGGTCTAACATCAAACAAGCTTTTCAGCCATAAAACTTGGGCACTGTTTTTTTTTTCTCTCATTCTACAAATTAATAGCTTTCAATTGATTTTTTTTAATAAGCTGATTCATGCATGTGGCTTGGAAGACTGCACACAAATCCTCTCACATAGCTAACAGCAGTGTTTATTGCAGATGTTGCCATCACCAGTTGGAAACAACAGCCAATACAACTCTTGTTTGAAGGAAGATGCAGGAATTTTGAGTAATTTCTGACCTGTTTCAGACTGAGTTACATGAGTAAGTTCAAACAGCAAAAGAAGGTAGCTTGAAATAAGCTAGCTGATTTTACCTAAGAGGGACTAAGCAGAGTATCTTGCATGGGCAGTTGCATGGAGAGCAAACTCCAGCAGAGAGACGTGATAAACAGCTGTAGTGTTTTGACTTGTTATGTGGTCAGTTTTCAGAAAAACAACAACAAAAAAATCCCACCTTCTTTCTGAACCCCCCCACCCCCCATCTTTTCCCACAGCTGACTTCTGCTGTCATGCATTGTAGCTGTTAGATCAAGTGCCTGTCTGAAAATGTGCTCCATGTGGAGGCACATGCTTCCATATTCCACCCATCTTTGACCACAATTTAGCCTACATTCATGTAACAAAATACAYGGTGATGTATTTTTCAATCCATCTACCATGAAATATTGCTTCCCCCTACCCCACTTAAAGCCTTCTTGGGAGCTTGTTTGAACAGGTAGTTAATCYAAAGCATGTGTGAAGGAATCAATTGGGGTTAAATGTTCTGTTTTAATTCACACTGTTACCTAAATTATCCTTCCTTATGGACAAGTCCTTGTGATTTGAAAACCCATGCAAGACCCCGAAGTTCCGCATTTTTATAAAGTTCTAGTGTTTGTCACGYTTGGCGGGACTGAAATGCCAAGGTACATATATCTATCAGTGACTAAGAGGAACCACCCAGAGTCCTGCACACCAGTCTGGGAGCCAGCCAGGYTGCTCACACTGGAAGCAGGACACATTCAGTCCTCCCACAGCTGCGGAAAACCCTTCTAACACTTTCCACACAAAGCTTTCTAACACACAAAAGCATTTGAAAAATAAATTTGACTCTGTAGAGAAAAAAAAAAAAAGATCCTGCTCTGATGTCAAGTCTAAACATGGATTAATACATTCATAAAACTCAGACTTGTTTAAAATCAGTACATATTTTGAAGTACAGCAGTGTGGCAGTTTTACAGCAGAGCAGTGTAACTGTAGGTGCCTACCACGTTTAATGCTATTCTGTATTAGTGTTGCCTGGATCTCAGAGATGCCTCTGACCACCTCCTGCCTGAGATGTGTGTTACAAGAGCAAAAGCGAATCCTACTGTTAAGGTGGTTAAAACCCTCACCAAAGTGACACAGGCTGTGTGACAGCTAAACCCGTTAGACAACACACACAAGGTGGAAAGGACCTTTTTATTTGCAACTTGCTCTGGGTGTCYCTGCTGGAGCAGGGTGGGTTGGACTGGATGGTCTCTAGAGGTCCCTTCCAACCTCAGCCATTCTGTGATTCTGTCTGTGATTTCTAACAGATCATCCTCACTTATCCTGCAGGCTTTGGCTGCAGTTTTATGGTCATTTTATTAATCTGGCACTGGCACTGAAGGAAGCAGACCCATCTTCCTGTTAACAGCTCTTTTGTGCTGGTGTAAGCACTCATGCAGGGACACTACACACAGACAGGAAAACTGACTGGAGTTCGCAGTAACCTTGGGAGGAAAAAACAGAACAAAAAAATGGATCAGTGCCTGCATGAATGCTCATAAAAGCAGTCTATGAAGGGAAAGCCATTTAAAATTTGCAAAACCCTTCCTTCTTCTCCTCTCCATAGTTGTAAAAATAGCAAGGGAAGAAATGAGTTAATTAGCATAAACTAGGACTGCAGATTAGATTTGTTATAACATAATTTTGCTCTGCAATTTCCAGTGATATCAGACATAATAAAGCATTTTAARTTAAGAGTACCTTCAAGAGGGCAGTTTAGAAAATCACTTGAAAATCACTCATTGAAATTTGATTGCATACAGTCTCTTTGTAGTTTAAAATCTTTGTAACACAGGAAAAAAAAACTCTTTTGTATGATTTTCTAATTATTAACTATAAAGATAAGTTTATTATTCCCTACCATRTCACCTTTGGATTGTGAATGAGCTGATGTTGAAGCAGACAGCAGAATTATTTATATAACATGTACTCYGTTGATTGAGAAACAGTTTGCACTRTTTTTAAACCTAATGCTATGTAACACAGAATGGATGGTTATCATGCAGGATGAGGAAATGCTTAAATCACATCTGTTTCCAACAAATTCGCATTTCTGAAATCTGCTTTCAAAATTCGCAGTACTCTGCATTCATGGTTATTCTCCCCCAAACACTATGTAACCACACGCAGCACAGCCAACATGCAGGAATCAGCAGCAGGAGGGCAGCTCGGGTTTTAAAGTGTGCCACTYCACCCAACAGCGCAGAAGGGCTCTGAAGAGAACGCAGACCCTTGAAGACAATTCCATCCGGGAAAAAAACGACTGTTCCTATTCATGACGGACACGTTTTACACATGTGCTTAGTGATCTCCATTCACACCATAAACCTTTGCCTGCATTTTGTTTGTTTGCTTTTACACAGCTAGCAAAGCAAAAAGAGAGRGACCCAGCGAACCAGAATCTTTGTTTTTTTCTGCTGCACTATTAATACCACCTTGATACATGTCCAGTCTCATAGGTAGTGCTGAGATTGAACAGGAAGGCTTTGAAAGGTCTGATATGACAAGGAAGGAGCTTGTCTTTGTTCTCCAGCCTCAGGATGAAACACTGGTAGCTGGAGAACTATTTTCTACTGGTAAATGGACTTCAGTGTCACTGAGATGCAGTAAACTTGAAATCTCCATTTGCTGCTTGAACCTAATTGCTGGCTATGGTCACAGTGACTGGGGAGGCCTGAGGCAAAAGGGACGCTCAAGGTAAAATCCGTAATATCCGTAATTCACAAATGCGGAGGGAAAAAAAGGAAAGGTTGAGCCCTCTCATGYGGGATTCATGTACACCTAAGGTGAGATATAAGCACCCTTGCTTGGCTTAATTCTGCAGACCAGCTTTTACCTTAGTGAACAAAGTCAGCAGTGGTTTATTTGTGCGGGCTGAAGAGAGTTGTCTCCCCAGTGGACTAGGACAATGTCTTGCCCACTGCACTGTTCTGCTCAGGAAACAAAGCACCATTGTCCTGTTAAGGCAAAAATTAAATGTATAGATTAATTGTGTTAAGTTATAGGTAATGAAATTCAATTTTAAGGTAAACATGGTACCTCAATAGTAGTTCTAAAATAAACACAGTCAAACCATTTTCCCAGCATTTTTATGTTCACAATCTCAACACATTAATCAGAAAAATAGTTTACTACGCAGCACGCCAGAAACAATTTCAGGTAGCTCAAAAAATGTACCTCCTTTTAAAAAAAAATTGTATTTCCTTGCTGAAAAGCCTCTTTTAAATTCTTTTACATAAATGCTGACATAAATACGTTCTGCTGCTTCAACCAGACGTTTGCCAGTAAGAATTAAACGATATTAACAAAATGCAAAACGCTGTGCTTTGAACCTCAGTAATCTTACAGCAGTGGCTGGCAGCAGGATTCTACTTACTCAAAATTATTCCATCAAACAACTAATCTGCACCTAATCAGGACGTTAAAATAATGCTTCCTGCAGTGAATAAAAAGCTGTAGCCAAGGTGATTTAACACGGCAATATTGACAGCGTGAACATTACCCTCAGTCCTTCCTGTGACAGCAAATTGATTTATGAAGGACTGTGACGGGCTTGTGGTTTCTTTGGGGAGGTTTCAGCCAATTTAGTGTTCTTGAAGGGTGCGTGTTAGAGACGTGCAGTTGTGTATTCGCAATAACACCAGTAGCAGCAGTGCTTCCTTCACTCATGTACCTTAGCGGGATCTTTACAAAACAGCCCAGAATTGAAAGGCAAGAAACAGGCATGGGGACTGCTGGCAAGGATGGCCATTTCMAAAGGGTGTAATTCAAGGGTTTGCACCAGGGGACAAATAATTCCCTTTGCTTAAAGMCAAATTTCAAAGCTTTTGCTCAGAAATGGCTTTTCTGTGTTTTCACTTACTACAGAGGACTACAAGCACACATTGTTATTTGCCCAAGTTTAAACCCTTTCAGTGTGATATACAATACATAACACGGGTAGGACTCACTTGCAATTGCTAAGCATGCTATGGATTTTCTGTAACAACACAGCCAAAAGCTCCATTGAACTTCTCAGCACCATTACTGTATAATTTTGTTTTTACAGAGACAGCTTTGCCAATCTAACCTCTAAGCAAGAACACTGCAGGGGAATCTGAAGTCTAGCTAACTGATACGTTTCTAAGCAATAACTACCAAAAACAAAAGAAATCAAAGGTCACTTGCCACGATTCTGGAAGTTTCAACAGAAGGGGTGTTGCATTGACTGTTGTGTGAGTGTAACAGAGGAAAGGTGCTGCACTTCGAAAATAACTGGTTGGATTTCAGGCGCTAGGGGAGAACTGGATTTTGTCTTCGACCACATGAAACACGTGGCCTGRAAGGTGAGGGGCTGCTGCGCTGAGGGGTGTCGGGCTCTGCGCGGGGCAGGAAGCGCCGCGAGCTCCAGGCATGGGGCTGCAACCACGGCGCGCAGCGGCACCGCGTCCCGGCGTCCCCGCAGCCCCGCTGCGAGCGGAGCAGGAACGCGGCGGGGGACGACGCCGGGCCGCCTCTCCGTGGGCTCTGCGAGCACAATCTCATCGTCCAGCATTTCACCTACCAGGTACGAACAGAAGCCTGGGAGCTTTTGCAAGCACTGCAAATCCAAACGACACCAACGAGCTTTAGTCATATTTGGAAGTGTTTATGTCCACAAAAAAACAGCTGCTCTGAATGGTAGCCGGTGTGGGTAAGAACAGCATGTGGACTCGTTCATGGGCAAGACAAAAGACATCAAAATGAACAGTTCAATTTTGCCATTTTTTTAAACGAGCCTTTCTGYTGCTAGTCTAGCAGGCCGTGTTTTGTCCCTTCAGAACAAGGTTAAAAAAACCTGATGTACACAATGAATGCGCAAAATTAAAAAAAGCCTAGATTTCCATGGATCTAGCYCCACTATCCACATATATGTGCATGGAACAACTTAATTTCTCTGTTCTTTGCACCCCGGGTGCCTCAAGCTCTGGATGCGGAGCAGCAGCTGTGT